TCCGCCCACAAGAACTAACTGTTAATATAAATCTTAATACATAATTGTCTTATAAATCTTATGACACTTTTCATTCAAATTATAATTATGAACATGTATATCATTAACTTGTTGAACACAAACAATTGAGTGCAAACTTCAAGAACACATCAAATTTGCACATGTACTGTAATTCTTAAGTATCTTGGTGAAATTAAAAGAATATTTATACCATACGCTAATTGATTACAGAGCTTACATTTAATTATAAAGTGAAATAATATTTTCTTTTACTAATATTTATAATTCAAATAACTGAACCACGATTTTACTTTTCATAAGATAGTAATTTATAATTAATAACTACAATAGAAGTGTTTATGTCAATTGCACTCAAATCTCATATGATTTATAAATAAAATACTCTGTATACCAATTTCTGGGAATGACTACTAATATGCTAATAAGTGTAATATAATTTATAATAATAATCAACATTTACATGTAGATTGTGACATACAGTATTACATTATTACATTTAGCATCTGGCATATTTTGAATGCTGTCAGACGAGACAATTCGTATACCATATAATATACGCGTATATCTTAAACTTTGCCTTTTGTTTGCCACTAAAGTTGTGTAAGTATTTGCAATTCCTTTCTATCAAAAATCTCACTTAATTTCAAAGTCAACTTAATTATAAAGATTTTAATACTATGAGAGTTCAATATAGGTTTTAATCTATGACCTTAGCAATGGTCACTGATAATATGTGATACTTCAATGTGTTAAACCTGTTTTGTTTAATAAGTTTGCTTTCATAGTATTAGATTCTAACAATTAGAACCTTTATAATACCGGTATAAAGTTTATAATTAAGTCTACTTGGAAATTAAGTGAGGTTTTTGATAGAAAGCACTCATAATATAAGTCTCATATACAGCAATAGATAAGTTTACAGTCTATTCAAGAGTTATCCAATATGTGCTGGTCTATTAATTATATTAATCGTACGATTCGTGTTATTCTGGACATATTTGTCAGAGTAATTGGTTTATTATATCCGTCTAATCAGCGATACTTACCGCCCATTACTGACAGACTTTTGTTGGAACCGGCGATCAATTTAGTGAAACTTATCAAAACTGGACGAGTATTACATGGTTTTCAATATTTTATTTCTATATTAACGTTGAATTTATATGAACTTATAGTTGAAATGTGAAGATCTGGTCAAAGCGTACGTCGATCGCATCAAAACAGTTCAGGTAATCATTTTGGATAATAAATATATTTCCTAATAAGTTACCAAGGTACTGTATAAAACAATTCTCAATTTATCAATTTATGTGCCTTTCCTGAAATAATAGCCGCACATAAATGCTGTGATCGATGAACGCTATGAACTGGCCGTAGAAGAGGCCAAAGAAGTCGATAAACAGGTCACTCATGAGCTTCAGGGCAATGAACCACTCAATGGAGTGTCCATCCATTCACAGCCACTGTTAGGCATTCCCTTTGTAGGCAAAGACTGTATTCCCATCAAAGGTCTCTTCCAAACCACTGGATGTCCCGCTCGAAAAGGTATTAAAGCCACAGAAGATGCAACTGTTGTGAAATATCTTCGAGATGCCGGTGCTATACCTCTTGCTATGACAAATGTGCCGGAATTGCTACTGTCTTGGAATACATACAACAAACTCTATGGACAGACATACAACCCATACGACAAGTCTATAATTCCTGGTATGACTTGAATAAAGTGAATTTTTAGTCAATTAGTGTTTTACAAAAATCTATATATAATAATATAGCGGGTAGTTCTGGTGGCTGTGCATCACTAGTGTCATCGGCCGGTGCTATTATGGGCATCGGATCAGATATCGGGGGATCCATACGAATACCTTCATTCTTCTGTGGTTTGTTCGGTCACTGCATTACTCACGAACTGATTCCCAAAGACAATCATTGGCCGCCATTTCCCGAAGAAATGATGAAATATTACACATATGGACCGATAGTCCGATTCGCGACTGATTTGAAACCAATGGTCAAAGTATTTGTCGGCAAAAACGCATACTAACAGAAACGGATCCAAAAGTTTGTTTATCGAGTTTTGCAAAACACTTTACGGCGGCTCTGATCACACGATTACGGCTCTTGTTATGGCTGTGGCTATGAGACTGAGTATCAGTGAACAGGAATCACAAGAATATCTCAAAATACGGGATGAGTTAAAGGCAGAACTGAACGAACTCTTAGGTATAGTTTGTTTGATTCACATTTGGTTTAAGTTATAAAATAGTTTAACAAATCCGTAGGAAATGATAACATTTTGTTATTCCCAACTCATCCGGACAATTGTGTCAAACTGAATGCCACAATCATTAACATGAAGAACACCAGTTACACAATGGTCTTCAATATACTGGATATGACTATAACTCAAGTGCCGATTGGACTCAACTCCAGAGGACTTCCACTGGGAGTCCAAGTGATCGCCAATGCATTCAATGATCACTTGACTATAGCTGTGGCGGAGGAACTGGAGAGAAGGTTTGGCGGTTGGGTTCCGCCCACGAAAGTTCAATATGAATAAAATGCACACAAATTTGAGCTCATAATTCAAAAAACGTATTCAATTTTCCATTTATGCAATGATTTGTAAATAAAAGACAAAATTTACACCAAAAAAAACTTATCAAAAAAAATATGAATTCCGATATGACTTCCGAAACTAATAGACAAGAAGCTCGAAGTCCTTATACTTCCAATTGGCGCAGATGTCGACCTTATAGCTCATACCGGCGCCGGTAATCAACTCTTTGATACCAAACTCGCTATCCTTGTAGTGATGGGCGCTAATACTGAACACATCGGACGCTGAGGTGGGTATCGTAGACTTGAGTTCGCCATTGAGTTCCCAGAAGTGAAGACTGGAATCACTGCCACCGGAGATGTAGTAGTCGTTGTGGGCGACGACCACATTGGCGGTGCTCTGGGCGTCAAATTTGGTCGAATAAGACATGGTATTCAAGTGCCAGACCGCCAGATGTGGTCCACCGCCACATATGAGCCAATTATTGGTGGCCAGAGTGAGAGCGCCGATCCATTTGCCATAAGTAGGCCGCGAGAGGTCACCCGTCCGGTGCGGATATATCTGTGACACCGACTTCTGGCCGCACCTCAGATCCCACACCAATACGGCTCCGTCTTCGCCGCCGGAGTACAACATATGGCCGTCGGCTGAGAGTTGAATGCAATTAACGTAGTCTTTGTGTTCATTGAGGCGATGGATCTGTTTGTGTGACTCGGCGTCGAAGCCGTAGATCTGATGATCGCCACAACCCGTGAATATGCGCTCATCGGTGGCGGCGATGGTGTTAACCATACATGTGTTGGACGACAGTGTAATCGACCAGTCTTTGGCCAACTTATTGTCTCTTATAAACCATCCCTGGAGTTGTCCTACGAGTGGATCCCAAGACATAACATATATATACAAATCACGTGATTCGTGGCAACACTTCCCGAGGAATACCTTTTCCGCCGAAAACAAACTCCGATTTGTTTGTGGGAAAAGTGGCCACAGAATAGACCGGCGAAGAGGTGTCGACGATATGTTGCGGTCGTCGCAGCGGTTCCAGCGCTTCCACGTCCTGACCGTCCAGTGATTTGGTGTCGAAATCGGCGTTTTGTTTGATAATCGACTGGATGTCAAAGAGGGCTAACTTTCCCCTCTTGAGGCCGCAGATCATATGCCGGCCATCGCTGGACATCGCGTGCGATAGGATAGTCGTGTAGTAAATGCCGCGTTTGTCCACAATTTCAGACATGACGGGATCAGCTCTGGTGGCGGTTGTGGTCATCACTCGCATGGCATCCAATCACATGACAATCAATTCAATTGAAAACACATTTGAAAAGTGTTTTGAAAATTGATGTCAACTTTGGGTTCAGAGACATCTGACGGACCACTCGTTTGTGGCATTCATTGCATTGCATTTGCATTGAGACCAGAATTTGTGTGTTTTATCACTTTTATATGATTTATAGGAATGTGATGACTAGATTGTACTAGTTTTCAATACACGCTAGCTTATTTTAGTTGTAATTTATAATTTAATTTCAATTCTGTCGTAATGAATTAATTTATAGACTAGTATTTACTAATTAAATAGACGTGAAAATTGATGTTTGACTAAGTTGTGAACTTGTAAAATTTATTTTATTTGCTTTTAATTAGATATTTAATGAAACAATAAATATGAATATTATGAATATATTAATATTACTATTTATTGTATGTCCTAATTATAAGCTATGGTTATTTTCTCATAATAAGTTAGAAATCAATGAAATATATAATAAGATGTTATAGGAATTGACAAACAGGTGTTTTTATAATATACAGAATATATCGATTAGGAAATTATTTTATTAGCAGAATATGTTTTATCTATCCATTAGTTTATATCATTAATATAACAGTGAATGAAGAAAACTCTTCCGTCAACTCGTATGACATTTAAATTTAATGCAGAAATCCATACAAATATCAAAGTATTGTGAATAGTGTTCTCATTAAAGCATTAAAATTAGTGTAAATATCATCAAAATATAGTATAAATGCCAATGAAATTTAGTGATCAGCATTAGCATGAATAATGCAATTGAATTTAATTAAGTACCATGAACTCGTATGAAAACTAAAGTATTTTAAAATAAATTTTCTATTTTTATGCAAAACTTATTGTTTTTATTAAACAAATGAAAAATCCAATTTATCCACAAAATTAAGTGGAAAAATATAATTAATTTGTCTGCCTTTTTTAAATCAACATATTAGGAATTCCATTATTAATGGGAAATTCATGTCCGGTTTCCGGACAAACTAACTTTCCCTCAATGATCTCGATCTCCATGAGCGCGCCATGTATTTGCTTAAGGAGTTCATCGCTTATGTTGCCGTTTGGTAACTCAGTCGGCAATTTCACTCCAAACTATGGGTATATAAATTGGGTGACAATATACCACTTCAATATTGAGACAAAATGTGACCCAAAAATATGGCAATCAAACATACCTGAGCCGCTGTATCGCGTAATGCATTCCAATCCACTTTCGAAATAATCCTTTTCATGAACTTCTTGTCAAACTCTACGGAAATGTCTTTCACTTCATTAGCCTTTAATTACAATGAATTTTTAATTAAAAAAATTTAAACCTTATTTTGTTTATTAATTAATAATCTTGTGTATAATATAAATACTATACAGTGTTACCTACCACAATTTTCAGTGGAAAGCCAACAGTTACATTCTGGAGTCCCATAGACGACAGCATATTATGCATTAATAATTTCATTTTAAAATGTTTTTTATTTAATGTAACTTACACTTGAATTAAAATTTAAAATTAATATGCATTTATTCTGGAGCTCACTTGCTTATATATCACTGCTTATGTTTAATATAATTAATATTATTAATAATATTCAATATTATGTCAATAATAACTAGGGTTGAAAACAGTATAAATTATATAAATTATATTATATAAATTATATCGAGAAAAAATAAATTATATAAATTATATTTTGAAAAATAACATTATTAAGCTACATATTTAAAATATTTGTATAAATAACATGAATAGTTTACAAATTAGTTGAAGTTAGCATTATAATGTTTGAATAATTAAATTTTACGGTTATAATTAATTAAATCTACTTAAAATTAAAT